ATTGCTCCATCCGCTGGTCCCAGGAAGTCCTAGTTTCCTAACCCAGCCAGTTCTAGGTGTTGTGTTAGCAGCGCACCAGCGGGCCGAGCAGGCCTTCAGCTCCCTGGGGGAGCGCTGTCTTGGCCTGCCTGCCTACCTTCCCAGTGTGTGGAACGGTCACGGCTCTGTCGCAGCCGGTGCCCCTGTGCTGAGGCTCAACTCAGGCTCTTTCCAAGACGGCTCGGCTCCTCCATCCTCAGGTGGAGGGCAGCAGGGAGGGCATCACCTTCTGGGCCGCTGTGCTTGGCGGGGCCCAGTGTCTGTGGGAATGAGGGAGCAGTCCATGGGATGGCCTCAGCTGCCACGGGAGGGTGAGTGTGCCGTATGGCCTCCAGGCTTATCCTGCCTCTGGAGAGCCTGAGCCCGTGACGCTGGACCGCTGAGCAGGCACAGGCTGGATGCCATGAGGAACAGCGGAATCTGAGGTCCATAGGACCAGCAGAGGGCACGATGGTTACATCGCTGGACTCTCACAGTGAACCATGGTTTGAGTCCTGGACCCGGAGGCTTCACAACACGGGGCGCATGTGTCTGTGTGCTCCAAATCCCAAGAGGCGAATGAAGAAGGGATTACAGGGTGGCCATCTCCCCTGGGGGGTACTTTCTTGCAAAAATCTTTCCAAAAAAAAAAGAACCTGAGGTCCATGTGCTGGGCATTTGTTTCAGCGTCTGACTTAGGCGTTTATGGGTGACGTTTGTGGTTACAGAGCAGGCCCTCTTGGGTACATTTGTCCTGAGAGTGACCCTGCTCTTGCCCTTGGGATTGGCTAGCCTGGCCTGTGCGTGGCTATCTCTGGGGCTGCTGCTGTGTATACTGTGTGTGGGGCTGTCCAGCTGGCCCAGCATGGCTATTTTGAAGATTTTTTGGGGGCCAACAGGCAGCATGGTGGTTAAAGTGGTTGGGTCACCCAGCTGAGTGGTCTGGGACTCGGAGGCCTAAAACATCCTAGACATGTATGTGTGCACACCCAAAATCCAGAGAGGAAAATGGAGACGGGATTGCAGTGTAGTCATCCCCCTGGGGGTGATCTCTCTTTCTCTGCCTCTCTACGACAAAAACACATGCCTTATAGCAAAATCTAAAACTGTCTGCAATGTCAGATTAGGAGGACTGTCTGGTAGCTCTCATGTAAGGGCGCTCCTGTGGCTGCAGCCCCACTGCCGCTCCGTCTGGCTGCATGCACTCGGTGCAGCTGCTGCTTGGCAGGCGGGGGCCCACCCTGTAAGTTGGGCACAGGGTGTGTGCTTGCAGCCTCAGCTACGGACTGGGGAGGCTGGGAGGAGAGGGGTAGAACATGAGATTCTGGTTTAAAACCCTCATCATTGAGATTGAAACAATGTCCCTTGTGTCGAATATGTTGCGTTTGATCAGAATGAATATGTTCACTGATACCATTTCTGAGGTTGTGACTTTTTTTTAAGAATTATTTTATTTATCCATATTATTTTTAATTTGACCAGAGCAAGACAGAAAGAGAGAAAGCGAGAAAGCAAACTGCCAGGTCCGGGACTCGAACTGTGGTTGGCCATATGGGAGTCCAACACCTTTAACCACCACCCCACCTGCCAGCCCCAGTCATGACATATTATTGCATAGAAAAATGTGTCATTGGAAACTAGCCTTTGGTGTAATGGCTATGTTGCTGGGCTCCCATGTGGTTGACCGCGGTTCGAGTCCTGGACCTGGTGGCTTAAACTCATGCCGGGCACGTGTGTGTGCATGCCCGAGCTCCCAAGAGGAGAATGGAGGAGAAAGGATTGCAGCGTGACTATCCCTCCTGGGGGTGATTTCTTTTTTTTTGGAGAGGTTTTTGCTATAAGGGTGCGTGTGCTCTCCAGAAAGATAGAGAGAGAGAGACAGAAAACAAGAAATCATATAAGAAATCTAATAATATGATTGTCATTATCTCTCCCACTTAAGTTCTCCCTTTTAGACTACTCTGTCTGTTAAGCCCATTTTTGTACTTTCGCCTCCTGAGTAAAATGTGATTGCTCAGTCCAGCCAAGGGGGCCATCCTGATGGCCACGTGACAGGCCCAGAGGCTGTCCTCTGCCTCCCCGCCATGGAAATGGGCCATGGCAGCAGATGGCAAGCTGTGCCGAGCCGGGACAGGCATAGTGCCCTGTCCTGGACACCCAGGGCAGGGTTTGCTGGGGAGGCTCTGGTTTGGGTGGGAAGAAGTTGATGATTGCTTTGCAAGGTGACTATCCAGCTGTGTTACTCTAGATATAAACTGTTCTTATTTACTTACTACTGTAAAGTTTCAGTTTCAGCTTTTTTTTTTTTTTTTTTTGTCTCCAGAGAGACAGAGGGGGTGGGAGAGAGCACCTCCCCAGGAGGCATGGCCGTGCCCTGACGTCTCTCCCATAGTCCTGCATCCCTCTGAGCACACATGTACATGTGTTCCACACACTTTTAAAGCTGCCAGGGCCGGGATTCAAACCGTGCATGTGGGATCTGGCTCCCTTCACCGCCAGTCTGCAGGGCTGGCCTGTGTCCTGCATCATTAACTTTTGCCTCAGGAGGACAGGGCAGGGAGGTTTTTGTAAAGCACACGCAGTCTGCAGGCATGTGCGCACCCGAGTGGTCGCTGTGCTGCTGCGATGGGGAAGAGCTTGCTGGCACCCTCGTCTGGCGGCAGGGTCACCGATACAGCTGTGCCTGGGCAGCGTGAGGCAGCGTGGGGGGCAGAGTAGTGACAGGGATTGTCTCTCCCAGCCTCGAGCTCCAGGTGCACCCTGAACCCCTTCCAGGCTTAGGCAGGACCTGGCTCCCCAGCAGCCAAGGGGAAGCGGAGTCTTGTCCTTTGCACCCCAAGGCATGTCCCTTCCAGTTTAGAGGTAGCAGAATCTGTGGGTTCTATTTTCTGAGCTTTTAAGATCTTAAATTCCAGGGACTAGCAGATGGCATAATGGTTACATCGCTGGACTCTTACATTGGCATTTGTGGTGGTTTCAAACTCACGCCAGGCACAGGTGCATGTGTGCCCAAATTCCTGAGAGGAGAGTGGAGAAGAAGGGATTGGGGTGTGGCCATACCCTCCCTCTCCCCCAGGGGGTGATTTCTTGCTTTCTGTCTCTCTGTCTTTCTCTGGTGAGTGTACATGCCAAAAAGTCTCTTTAAAAAAATTATTCTTTTAAATCACAAAATTAGGGACCAGCAGATGGTGTAATGGTTACATTGATGGACTCCCCACATAGTCAACCGTGGCTTGAGTCTTGGACCTGGCGGCTTAAAATTCAAGCCAGGCATGTGAGTGTGCATACCTGAGATCCCAAGAGGAGAAGGTACTATGGTGTGGCCAACTCGGGGGGAGGGGTGATTTCTTGCTTTCTATCTCCTGTCTGTCTCTGTCTCTCCAGCGAGCACACGTGCCCTATAGCAAAAATCTCTCCAGAAAAGAAAACAATAAATTACGAAAGGAAATATTATTGTGGGCTCCTCTTTAAATAATTTTAAGAGAGATTATCCAAAATATATCTGGCTCTATTTGTCTTTGAACTTTGGGGTATTTCGTAAGGCAGGATCTGAGTCTCTGAGCTCTGCCTACTAAATGTCGTTTGTTTGCTAGAGACTCGCTCAGCTGCGTGGCCTGTGCTGCGGAGTGTGCTCCACAGGCTGGGCATGTGGGGCGTCCTGCTTTGATTCCTGGTCTGACCTTCGGTCAGGCGAGCCGGTACTCTGCACTGTGGAGGAGGGGCAGTGGGGCAGCACGGACAACATGTCTGGGAAGAGCTGGCAGTGCCACCTGTAGCTCCACCTGCAGGCTGAGTTGGGATCGCCAGCCACACCCTGGCAGGCATGAAAATTTGGCAGTCCACAGAAACAGATGGGGAGGCTCCTGGGGGGAGCCTTGCCTGCAGCTGTGCCCTGGCTCCAGCTGTACCAGAAGCTGCCTGCCTCCATCCGGGACCTGGTGGAGCAGGTACGGGAGGAAGCGCCACAGGAGCAGCTAAGCCCACAGGCGGGGTGACCTGCCCCGTCTCCAGGCCTCATCCTGCTACGTGTCCTGTGTGTAGAAACCATCCTTACAGGGTAGTCGTTAGTGTATGTTAACTGCCGAACAGGTGCTGGGCGTGTGGTTACCTCACGTTGTGGTGGAGACGTGACTGCAGGCAGATGGCGGGCACACCGTCCGACAGCCCCAGGGAGAGGCAGGCGCAGTCAGCACGTGCTTGCCACCATCAGCACATGTGTGGAGCATGGGGTCCAGGTTCGCACGTGGCCACATAGAATCACCCAGCTTGCACCACCCTCGTGCTGGCCTGGCCTGGCCACCTCTGCTGGGACCTTGATCCCTGGAGAGCAGCAGTGTTGGAGCAGTTTGGCCCTGGGCGCGTGGTCTGCCTCGAGGTGTCAGAGCATCAGGTGCATGCACTGCCCTCGGCCCACAGCTTCTCTGGGGCTTTCCCCCCAGCCTTGTGTGTTCATGTCCAGAGCCTGAGTCCCATCCTCGTCTGTCGTCAGGCTCCCCTGGGAGGGGCTGGAGACTCAGGCCACCCAGCACCTCGAGAGGCCACCCACTGTCGAGGTTTGTGTTTATCCACCCCGAGCTGGCAACCCCTCGGATCCCGAAGTCTCTGACAGCAGCTCTGTTTGGTCCTGCTGCTAGCCTGGGCGTGGGGCGCCCTGGAGCAGTACAGGAACCGGCAGGCTAGGGCTGCTGGCAGTGGAGTGCACCCTGAGGTAGGTTCCAGCACTGCTGTGGCAGCCCATGCAGGCCAGGCTCCTGACTGTTCAGGTGGCACTGTGCATCCTTCCCGTTCAAAGCGGCCCCCGAGCATCGGAAAGAGACTGCATTTCCTGGACCGTTTCTTAGTGCGAGGCGTCCACCAGAGTGCTCTCGCCCTCTGCTCGGCGGACTTGTAGCAGCAACTTGCTTTGGGCTTCAGACGTGGCCCTGGAGAGGTGTCGGCGTGCTGTGCCGACCCTGTGCCCGGCTCACGCTGTCGTTTCCTTCAGCAGGCAGTTCCGGCCCAGGGGGAGGCCAGGCCAGACAGCTGCATGAGGACCGAGCTGCTGCGAGAAGGTAAGGCGGGCCTGTGGCCGGGCAGGGCCTCCCTGTCCTCCCGCACGGGCGTCTGACTCAAACCCGCCACCACTACGTTTACTGCGCAGTTTCTGATCTCCCTCCCCGCATGCACACGTGTATAGGCATACACGGGGCCTGCTCCGACACATACCTGTGTACAGGTGCATGTGGGGGCTGCCCCATCACGTGTATAGACACACGCAGGGCCTGTTCTGACACACATGTACAGGTGCACACAGGCCTGCTCCGACACACACACGTGTACAGGCGCACACAGGCCTGCCCCGACATGCACACGTGTACAAGCACACAAAAGGCCTGCCCCGACATGCACATGTGTACAGGCGCATGCAGGGCTGCTGGCGGGAGAAGACATGAAGTGTGAGGTGCAGGCCGCACACACTGCAGGGGGATCCTGGGGCTGCGCTCCGGTGGGACGTGTGTGTCTGCAGCTGCTGATTCATGTCACAAGACCTGGGCTGCTCAGGAGCCCTCCCACGACACACTGGCTGGACTAGCGGGCTGTGTCCACCCTGTGGGACGGCGGTCAGCGGCTGCAGCCTGATGGCGCATGGACGAGGCTGGAGTGCCAGTGGGTGAAGCAGGCACCCACGACTTGACCCCATGCTTGTGACATTCTACCTGAGGGGCAGCCAGAGGCCTGGAGAGCACAGAGCGGGCACCAGGAGGGCAGTGTGAGGGCACTGGGGGTGGCCGCCCTGCGAGGACAGGCTCGTGGCATCAGGTGTGCCCTAGAGGCGGACCACCGGCCACTGCAGAGGTGCTCGGCCAGGGCGTATAAGGCTGGCAGCTGCCAGGCCGCTTAGGGCTGCCCTCTGCCACACAGCCAGGCCTGGCCCTGCCGAGTGAGCGCTGTGTGGCCCGCACCCTGCCCTCCCCTGGACCCCCCGTGTGCCCATCCCTCCATCACGGGACCACTGAAGCCTGCCTATCGCCGCCCCCGTCTGTTCCTGGGGTCTCTCTTCCCCTGGTTCCCGTGCCTCCTGTCTGCCCTGTCTGTATCCCTGCCGCCCCTCCTGTGGCTGCCTCTCAGAGAGGCTGTTGCATACGTGACAGTGGCAGAGACAGGTGCCACTGCCCGGACCGAGGCCTGGAGGCGGCCTGGGGTGCTGCCGGGCTGTCTGCAGTGGCCGCACTGTCCTGAGGGCCCGCCCGTCGTCTCCTGGCTCCAGTCTCTCCCTGTCCTGCCCGCCGCGTGGTGTCGTCGGTGGTAATAGCCCTGCGAGGCGGCTCGTGGCTCTGGCTGGCTTCTCCTGAGAGCTGCTGGTGTGAGCCTGTCCACCCGCACGCCTGCCGGGTGTGCCTCTCTTTGCAGAAGCGTCTCTTCGGACCCCGTGTGTGTAAGTTGATCGTTGATTTGCACTGCAGTGCTGCCAGGGTTCCTACGTGCTCTTGGGTCCATACTTTGCGAACTTCTTCTACCCTGGGGCTTGCGTTTCCCTTCCTTGATGGTGTCCTTCATACACATTTGACCTGTTTTTAAAGTTTGTCCTTTGAGTGAGAGACAGGGAGTGAGAGCCTCCCCAGCGGGTCCTGAGGTCACCCTGCCCCAGGCTCTGCCATCCTGCGTCACAGACACGCTGTCTGCATTGCACTTGGTGACACCCTCACACGAACCTGGAGCCCCACATGTGTCAGCCCCACAGCGCTGTGTGCCTGCGAGCCGCCTCAGCCAGGGCTTTGGTGGTGACGCAGCCCAGCGGGTCTCCCCAGCCGACTGCTTGGGGCGCAGCATCCCAGCCGCCGTGACCTGGTGGGAGGCCACAGACGTTGGGCCGCACTCCGCCCTGACGCACTGAGGCTCTGCTTCTCACACTAGGCCTTCGATGTGGTCAAATGCTTTAAAGAAGTGTTTATTTTATTTATTACGTATTATTTTTTAAGAGGGATTTTTGCTATAGGGCATGTGCGCTTGCCATAGAGACTTTCTTTGTAGGAAACATTTTAATTACAAATTAAATTTCTGGATTAAAAACAGGATTATTTACATTAACTTTTAAACAGAATTTTGCCAGAGTATGTGTCTGCTCCCACAGAGAAAGGCCATGCCTCGGTCTTCCCCGCTTCCCCCCTCCTTCAGGTCCTGGGCGCGCTCACACAGCCTGGGCATGTCCCATCAGATCAGGACTCCCGCACAGCCAGCCACGTGGGGTCCAGCACAGACTGACCACGCTGACTGTTTTTGAATGAACTTGGTGGTTTTTTTTTTTTTTTTTTTTAAATTTTTTTTTTACAACAGCCCCAT